TTTTGCCCACAGCCCAGACACCTCTTAATGCAAATTAACACATAAGAGAGAAAATCCCCTTCCAATAATACAATTGTAACATCTCCCTGGCAAAAATACTTGTTTAGGCCCTGATAACAGTGTTCATCTGGGAACAACACACCCGATTCAATTAAAAAAAAAAAAAAACACCATAAACTATTGTCTTCAGACCATAGACAGTCATGGATCTGGCCCAGTTGGTTTCTAGGAAATAAGCTTGGGTCTTAGTGAAAAACACTGATCAGGAAGAGTCCCACAGGGCTGTTGGACTGAAGAGAGGTTGGAGGACACCTGCCTCAAAAGGCTCTAATGTTTGTTCTTGCATTCTTAAATTCTTCTGCACTGTCAAAGTTCCACCACTTCCCAAAAAGCACAGATCTCCAGCATCATATCCTAGGAAATAAGACAAACTCCCTCATACAAATTTGAACAAACCCCAGCAGCAAGTGCTATTATTTGTAAATAGACTGCACTGAAAGAAGGGGAAGGAAATCATATTTTCCTTGTATGTCACTCTTAAGATCTACAGATTTACGAAAGTAAGAAAAAAAAATGGGGGAATCAAAGTCCTAGTTAAACTTATTGACATGGGCCAAGTTTCATCAGTAACAACTACAATGCTGGACTCTTAAGAAGTACTACTGATGTATAAAGCATGTAAGCACATTTCTGTATGTGTATTATAGTTTCACAATGCACAATAACAGTTTTTAAAAAAAGGCAACTGGGAGCAGTGGATCACACCTATAATCGCAGGAGAATAGCTTAAGGCCAAGAATTCAAAACCAATTGGTCAACATAGCAAGATCCTATCTCTACAAAATAAAAATTTTAAAATTGGCAGGGCACAGTAGCATTCACACATGCAGTCCTAGCTACTCAGAAGGCTGAGGTGGGAAGGTTTTGGCCCAAAAATTCAAGACCACTGTAGTTAAGCTGTGATTGTACTGTACTCCAGCCTGGATGACAGAGCAAGACCCTGTCCCAAAGAAAAAAAAAAAAGAAGGTATACAAGTTCCCACCTTCTAATGGCTTTCAAATGCTTATTTAAAGGCATTCTCACTTGATAAATGTTACATAGGCAAAAAGATAAAATTTTAACTTCACTTTCACTTTCACATTTTCCATTAGCGTCTCCATTTCCATATTTTAAGAGTTAATATTAATCTCTTTGATCATATGCTACACTAATTATTTAAAGAGTGATCATTTGTTATACAAAACCTGACTCATTAATTTAATTCTCCAGATCCAAACATAAGACATCAATAAGATAACCCTATTATACACACCATAGATAGTAAGCAACTTGTGAAATCTTGCTTGTAAGAAGTGATGACTAATTTCAGGGAGACCTTAACAAAGTCTCTCCTTTCCATCTGCTCAAATTCTTCCAAGTTATCATAAAGCATCTTCAGGACATTAGGCCAGGACCAACCTCTTATTCACAGTGGAGTTTTTTTTTTATTTTTTTAGCTGAGATTTATTAATTCTGAAATATACACACAAGTTACAACAGATTAAGCCCCCTGTTGCCTCTAGTCCTCCAAGGAATTCCTCCCAGAAGCAGAAGCAATGCTTCGGAGGGCTACAAGATAGACCTCCAAAGAATATCTCAAAGGCAGACAGCTGTTCCAGGGTGAGAAAAACTGGAGCACCCTGAGCCAGCCCACTCTTGCCCCAGAGTCCAGCCATGTAGTAGAAAACACAGAGCTGCGAGAGAAGAGAAAAAGAACAACAAAGCCTCCTCTCTGAAAAGCCGCAAATAGATTGCTCTCAGTCTAGAATGGTCTTTAAAAATACCTTGTTTACAAGGTGGACCTTAAAGTCTAGTGAAGTTTCCATATCAACTGAAACCAACTAAAATGGACAATTTAGAGGTACTCAATACCCACCTAAATAACTCATTCTGCTAGACACCAAAAATGACATATACTGACCAACCAGCTTGGCAACTCAAGAATTCAGTACCCAAACTTGTCAAAGAAATAAATTGCAACTTCCTTTTGCTGTGTTTGGCGTTATCAAATTAAGAATAAGTTAGAAGTAGTGAAAAAAAAAAATAAAAGAATCAACTCAAGTTCTGGATGCTGGACTGCATAATGGTTTTCATTATAATATCTAGCTCTGAAATGAGCTCAAAGACATTCTGGGAAGGTATAAATCTCAAGTATTAAATGTTGCAGAAAACACACACACACACACACACATTCATTATGGCTTCAGAATAAAAGTTCCTTAACGAAAAGTCATAAGCTAAGGTACCAGAGAGCAACACGCTCTATATCAGGGGTACCCAATCCCAGGACTGTGGACTTGTTAGGAAACAGGCCACATAGCAGGAGGTGAGTGGCATAGCAGGCCAGCAAGCATTACCGCCTGAGCTCCACCTCCTGTCAGATCAGCAGCAGCATGAGATTCTCATAGGAGCACAACCCTTATTGTGAACTGCCCATGTGAGGGATCTAGGTCACATGGTCCTTATGAGAATCTAATGCCTGATCATCTAAGGTGGAAGAGTTTCATCCCCAAACCATCCCCCGAAACCCCATACTCCCCCCAACCCCACCCCCATCTGTGGAAAAACTGTCTTCCACGAAACCAGTTCCTGGTACCAAAAAGGTTGAGGACCACTGCTCTATATTTTACATCAGGTCTTTCCATAAGTAGATGGCAGCCTAAACAGTAGGCAACAGATTCCTAAGAGACAAGACAACATAGTGGCTGAGAGCCTGGACTCCAAATGATACCTGTTCAAATCTCAGCTTACAGCTAAGTGACCTTGGGCAAACTAATCTCTACGTGACTCAGTTCCCTCGCCCACTGTGTGGTGGTTATGGGAATTAAGTTTACTGTGTAAAATACGAAGGCTAATATGACACACATAATAGTTAAGCTCACATAGGGCTCTTAAAATGTCTGTTTGGGGATTCAGTGGCCCTCCAAGCACTAAAACAAAGAATACCTCTTTCTGCAGTGAAAATCCAGTACAGAAAATCTGAGAAGGGCAATCTTAAATAAAAAATGCTCCACCTCCCAGTACAATACCAACAGCCTTCTCTTCCAGCAGCCACTGTCACCTTTCATCAAACGCTTTACACTTAAAGCAGAACTTCAGCCTCTCATTGAGGACTGAGGATGGATATTGCAATATTGAAATTAACTTTGCCTAAGATTTCCCAGTAACTGAATGAGTCACTCGTGTCTTTAGAAACAGAGAAAATGTCAAGGTTGCCAGAAAACCCCGGTCCAGATGTTTGCATAAATCATTTTCAAGTGATCAAGTCAAAGCCAAAGCCAAAGGACATTATTTAAGGTAATACTAAATAGAATATATCACTTTTTTATCATTTTCCTGTAATGAAGAAAATTCTGAAAATGAGGTTACTGGAGAGGAAAAAAAATCACAGTAATTTCAACCAAAAATTACACAACATAATCAATCTAAGCTTAAAACTCCTTACCTTTTTCCAACCTCATCAAGAAGTACTAGACAAGCTCTGAGCTCAAGATTTAAAGATGCCCATAGTGCTTGTTTCTATTTTTTCTGTCATATTTCTTAGGGGAAGCAGAGGCTTTTAAAATTTTGATACACTCTCTGCAGCAAGATTTTTAATACCTCTCACCAATAAAACATGTTGAGTGCTCTGTATTGATGATAGCATCCATAAAAGGGTCTTTTTTCACTTTCAAAATAATTCCAGTAAAGTTTGTACTTTAATCTCAAATTCAAGCCATTTGCTCTAGCTTAATAGAATAAAATGGCAAGGATATTCTTTGGTCATTTACACTGTCACAAAAGATAAAAAATCTTATGTCAACTTCACGGCCTGGCTTCTCTTTCTCGTAAGTATAGCAGGAATAGTTAGATCGCCCTGTAAGGGTTTGAGTTCTTCACGTTCATTTGTTACAGGGCACACTACACAATACGTACTCAGTTTCACTGAAATTTCTTAAGTGCACAGGTTATTGGCAAATAACTTGCAACCGAAGTTGCACATGCCACGAGGTGGGTACCCTTCCAAAGGGAACAGACTGTGTCCGTTTTGCTTATTTTTGGTAACTTTAAATAAGACTTCGGATGGTTCGTCTTCTCAACTCATTTACCAATTTAACCACTGGGCGCAGGACTGAGCGCCCCACAGCTTTCGGCCGAAGTATAACACGCGCTTCCCCACTCGGTTCCCCATGTCTGCTACAAACCAACCAGATGTAATAGCTGAAGAATGACGACACCAAAATCAACCTACAGATCCACTTCTAAAAGGGCCGCAACACGAAATAAACTTCTCTCTCTTCAGAGGCAGTGGGGAAGGGGGAAAAAAGCCTAAGTGGGGTCGGTTTGGTCCATTTCCGAGGCTGGGTGCGCGCAGGGGGGGTCTGGGCTACCTTGGGCGGCTTAACCCTGTCAGAACCGAGAACGACCCCACCGCGATACGGGATGCCCGAGCTGGCAGAGGCCGCCTCATACGGCGCCCGTTCCCCCGCCAGCAGGTGCCCGAGGCCACCCCAACAGGCCGGGTGCGAGTGCCGGAACATGGCCACTTCCCCCCGCGCTACGCCGCCGTCGCACGCCGCCAGGCACTTTGTTAACTCAGCGCGCCCGGGCGAGGTGGCTCCCGGGCGGCGGTCACTGACGTCCGAGACCTACGGAGCCCCGGCTGGAGACGGCTGGGACCCTCCTCCGGCTCGGCCTCGCCCAGCCCGGGTGTGGGGCCGCGGCGGGAGGGAGAGGTCGGGGAGCAGCTGGCCCCTCGGAGCCCCGCGCCGCCTTCCCAGGCGCTTACCTGAGGAAAGGAGCCCTCGCGGCGCGGGTTCCTGGGGTAGTCTAAGTGACCCCGGTCCAGCATCAGGTAGAGCGAGAAAATCACCACACAGAAGATCGCACTGCCGAACACGGTGAACTGGCGGCTTAACTTCATTTTCCTCGATAGACTCGGGGCTAGGACACTGTCCTCAGCCGGAGGAGACAGCAGACTATGGACTCCAGGAAGCGGCCGCCGGAGGCTCCCTTCTCCCGGGCTGCGCGCCCACCGCGCTCTCGGCTGCGGGTGCGAGTCCCGGCCGCGCTCCGCACTTCGTCTCCGGCGCCACCGCACGCCCTTGGCCTTCGCCCCGGCCTGCCGCCCTTCCCGGGCCCGGGCGTCCCTCGCGAGGCGAGACTCGCTGGCAGCTGGGAAGGGGCCCCCACAAACTTGCTCGCAAGCTCAGCGCTGAGCCCCGGCAGGGCGCGCGGGGCAGGCGCAGGAGAGGTCGCTGCCCGCACTTCCTGCCACCGCCGCCCCGACTGAGTCGGCAGGAAAAGTTTTCTCGACGAGGGCAGGCGTGTCCTCCTCACCCAGGGGAGGCGCGGGTTCTGCAGCTCCCGGGCCGGAGCCGCGCAGCTAGGTCAGAGGAACCGAGGAGGAAGGAACAGGGTCGCGAGGGGACTGGCCCTACAACTTCTATCCGGGACGGTCGGACCCGCCCCCGCGGCACCGCCCCCGCCTCCCCCTACTGAGCCCCTTCCTGCCGCCGCCGCCACCGCCGCTGCCGGACCTGTGTGCACCCTGGGCTCCGGGACGCTGGGATCGAGGAGTTTCCTCAGAGCTGGCGTCCGCTCGCCAACCTCTCCAGCCCCTCGCCGCCCCTACCTTTCCCCTCCCGGACCGGGGCTGCGCCGGGAGGCGCAGGGGGCTGGCGGCGGCGGCAGCGCGGGGAGGAGGAAAAGGAGAGCAGGGAGGAAAAGACCGTCCCCGGAGAGAAGCCCGCTCCAGCTGCAGCCGCGAGCCCCCTCCCTTTTTCCCGCCCCACAAACGCGGAGACGGCAGCGGCAGCGACGAAAGGAAGCGCCGGTTTTCCAGCGCCACTTGGCGCTCCAGCACCGCCCGCCACGAGCAAGAGGAGACAGCGGCGGCGCGGCGGCCGCTGGGTCAATAGGCGCCTGCAGCCCCGGAGCCGAGCAGGCGGCTGACCCCGCCCCCTCCCGACGCACTGAGATGAGGGGGCGGGCCCCCCGGCGCCCAATCACAGTGCGCCGCCCGCCGGGCCCGCCCCGCGCCTGCCTCCCAGTGTCCCAGCGGTAGGAAGACCTCACAAGGCTTTTGTGACCTGGCAGGCAGCTTTCTGGGAGTTGAGGCCTTGGGGACATTCAGGCGCCAGCACTCCACGCCCAACAGGGGTTGAGCTTATACCCCACTTCCTTTTGTTGCCCAGGTTTCCTATGCTAGGACACTCGGGCCCGGCGTGCGTGAAAGAGTACTTGGTGAAGGGCTGGAGGAAATGCAAGAGAAGAGGGCTGCACATTCCGTTCTGGCTATTTCCAACTTTGGTGACAGCCTGTTGAAACCTGGGGGAAACGAGTCTGACAAAGGGCCCTCCAGGCAGATGTAGACATCTGACTACGATATCCATGAGTGTAATCTGAGAAGTGATGCTTGCGCCAGTTATTGATTTATTGCCTCTCAACTCCAAATTCACCCTTTTTGACTGCACTGTGAAAATGCATCTGAGCCTTTAAAACAGTTTTTCCCTTTGCCTTCTGGGACTGAAGCTTTGTCAGTAGAGGGCGCTAAAGAGACATTACAAAAAAAAAAAAAGAATTTTGCTTCCTGGTTTCGATGTATTGATAGGCTTTTGCAGCATACCTGACTTTTTCCAGTGCCAAGGTCCTACAGTGCTCAGTAAGTAACTGGCAGTTTCTTCCCGCATGCCCAACTCTAGGAGCTTTGTAGAGAAGGTGAGACGCTACCCCATGAATAGCTTCTCTGGCACCCTAGAGGCATTTGTGACAAGTTGCAGAGGGCACATTTTCCACTAGTTTGCAGATGTAGCCCAATGGTGACTTCTCTGCCATTCAGTGAGCCACGTCATGCGCTCTCCAAAAAGGTCTAGATCTCAGCCCTGGGAGGAATTGGGGAGATTCTTCATTGGGCACTCTGTCTCTCAGCCCAAGTGTTAGTTATAAGGTCAGTTCCTTATAGCTGCTATTTCTATATTCTTTAGGGTTCTCTTCTTGCTAGTGAATCCCTCATTATTGTAATCCTCTATTATAGTTAATAATTCTTTTTATTAAGCCTTTCCTGTCCCAGTAGTCCCGATAAATAGACCTGCAAAGACGATATTACAGGTCAGTTTGATTGAGGTTTTGAGCTTGAACTCCTTGCCAAAGGGAAATGTAATTCATGGCATGCTGGGCATCTCAAGCAATTATCTGAAGTTGATTCTGATGAAGTGCCAACTGAAGCATGTGCCCTGGGGGCCCGAATGGCTGCTACACTTGACTGCTATGGTTATAAAGGTGACTAGAAAGACTATGGTGTGGGATGGATTCTTTTGAGTGCTTTCGAATGGTTATAAAAAGAAATGACAAGCACAGGTTTGTTAACTCTCAGAGTTATGGTATGAGAACCAGAGATATTCTGTAGAATTCAGAAATCTCTGGTTTATCATAGCAACAAGAATTACGCTGAAAATCAAACACAAAATTTTAATTTTCATGTTACTGAATTATAACTACTATTAAATTCACACACATTTGAGTTCCTCATGTAAAAAGATGTTATTTTTTAATAATAGGATTTCGATACTTGAAATGGGTTGGACCCAGATGAAACTGACGATCTTAAACACTCAAACTCACTCATTCTCTTATCAGTGGAAGTAGGTTGCCCTCCAGTGTCTAAAGAAACTAGCCTTCCTCTACTTGAAAACCTTGACTGTAGAAGATGACACTAACTAGATGAGCATCCTGATTTCAATGGGGATGACAGGATCTCAGAATAGCAGAGTCCAGGCAGTACATAACCAACAAAGACAAGGTGGGCACAACTACCTTAAAGGTCAGCAGGAAATCAGACTGCCTTGGCTTACGGAGATGCTCTGGAAACAAAGTAGGTAGGCAGTTGAAATAGATTATTGCTTGATATTTATAACAGGTAAAACTCTAGGTCAGGTAGCCAAAACCTGACTTGAGTCACCACAGTGGATAATCACAGTCTCTCAGTTCTCAGACCTAAGTCTATTCACAGACCCATAGTCCCTTGGTTGAAGGAGAATCTGTGTCCCCTTTAAGAAGGACCTTGCACCTTCCCATAGTACACATGGCAAATTTTTTCAAGCTTTCCCCAAAATGACATGTGGCCATTTACTAGTGACTCTGTATTGGTGAAAAGGAAATATACAGACCATTTGAGTTTTACTAGACACTGGCTCTGAATTGATGCTAATTCCTAGGGATAGAAATCACCACCGTTAGTCCACATACCAACTATGTTGCTACTTTCCCAGTGTAATTGGAATATGTATTAATGGCATAATTTTAATGGCAAAAACAGTAATTACTTTTGCACCAACCTAATAATTGGAATAAGCATACTTAGCAACTGACAGAATCCCCACATTGGGATTTAGCCATAGAGTGAGGGCCATCATTAGGGAGAGCTAAGTGGAAGCTCCAGGAGCTTATTGATTAATTATAAACTTAATCCAGAAGTGATTCCAATTGCTTCTGCTGTCTCAAATGTATTATTTTTACTGGAACCAATCAACATAGCACTTGGCACTTGGTATATAGCTATTGATGTGGCTAATGCTGTTTTCTCTATACCTATTTGTAAAACCACCAGAAGCAGTTGGCTTTCTCCTGTCAGGGCCAACAGGATACCTACACAGTATTGTCTTGGGGGTATATCAACTGACATTAATATAGTCCACAGAGTTGTTGATTGTCTTGACTTGCCATAAAATATCACACTGGTCCACTACATTGACAACATTATGCTGACTGGACCTGATGAGCAGGAATTAGCAAGTATTTGGGGTGCCTTATTAATATGTATTTGAACAGAGAGGAGATAATGATCTTGAGTATGAGATGACAACTCTAAAGTGATCACTTCAGATGTGGGATATGTTCTAGGATGGTACAAGCTATATGAGGACAAAACCACTGAGTTACTGAGAGATGAATCCAAACAGATGCTGTGGGTTAGCAATGGTTAGGATTGGGAGGAAAAGTGATTGCTTCAGGAACTGGTCATACCAATCATGTAGCCACGAAAGGAAAGTGGTATAGGCTGAATGTATCTCTTTAAAATACACATGATGAAGTCCCAACCCCTAGTATCTCAGAGTATAATAGTATATAGAGATAAGGTCTTTAAAGAGGAGATTAAGTTTAAAAGGCGATTAAGTTAAAATGAAGCTGTTGGGCCCTAATCCAATCTGACTGGTGTCCTTATAAGAAGAGAGAGACACTAGGGATACATGCACACAGAGAAAAGACCATATGAGGACAGACTGGGATGGCCTGCCAAGGAGAGAGGCCTCAGGAGAAACCACACCTGCTGACACTTTGATCTTGGACTTCCAGCCTCCAAACTGAGAAAATAAATTTCTGTTGTTTAAGTCACCCAGTCTGTGGCATTTTGTTATGCCATCCCTAGCAAATGTATACAGAAGGCAACCACCCAGTTGATAGAAAATACTAGGTAGGTGCAAAAGTATTTGCAGTTTTTGCAGGTAATGGCAATCGTGGTTTTTTAAAAGGTATTGGCAAAAAACACATCTACTTTTGCACCAACCTAATATTTGCCAACCATGTATTTGCAAACCAACTTAATATTTGCAAACCATGGAACCATTGCTAACCCACACCATCTGTTTGGATTCATCTCTCAATAACTCAGTGGTTTTGTCCTCATATAGCTTGTATCATCGTAGAACATATATATATATATTAGAGAAGGGGTATCTATCTATCTATCTCTATTTATCTATATATATATGGGACTAATCTCCAAAATATATATAATGAGCCTACATAATTCAATAGTAAATAAATAAACAGCACAATTTTAAAATGAACAAAGGACCTGGATAACATTTTTTCAAAGAAGACATGCAAATGGCCAACAGCTAATATTAAAAGGTGCTCTAGGTTGGGCACGGTGGCTCATGCCTGTAATCCCAGCAGTTTGAGAGGCTGAGGCTGGCAGATCACTAGTGAAACCCCTTCTCCACTAAAAATACAAAATTAGCCATGTGTGGTGGGAGGCGCCTGTAATCCCAGCTACTGTGGTGGCTGAGAAAGGAGACTCTCTTGAACCCAGGAAGCAGAGGTTGCAGTCGGCAGAGGTTGCATCACTGAACTCCAGCTTGGGTGACATAGCAAGACTCCATCTCATAAAACAAAACAAAACAAAAAAAGGTTCTCTAATCACCAGGCAAATGCAAATGAAACCCACAATGAGATATTACTTCACACCTGTTAGAATGGCTATTAGAAACAGGTCAAATATTATCAAAATTTGACCAGGATACGGAGAAAATAAACCCTTGTAAACTATTTGTAGAATTATAGACTGGTAACCAATTATGGAAAACAGTATGAAGCTGTTTTAAAAAATTAAAAATAGAACTACCACATTATCCAGCAATCCCACTACTAGGTATATATCCAAAGCAAATTCTATTTTTGAGAAAATAAATTTGGATCATCTTGATCACTTATTTACTTTACTGAAATAAGATTTTACTATCACTTATGAAAAAAAACTGTATGTTTTTCTGTTGTTACTAACATGAGTCTTTCTGTCTCCAAGAGCTGATAATAGCCATTCAAAGAGATGTGAGGTGATATCTCATTAGATAGCTTTGTTATGCCATCCCTAGCATTTTCTTTGCAGAATTATTCACAATAGCCAAGATACCGAATAAACCTAAGTGTCCATCAGCAGATGAATGAATAAAGAAAATGTGGTCTATATAAACAATGGAATAGCATTCATCCTTTTAAAAGGAAGGAAATCTCACGCCTGTAATCCCAGCACTTTGAGAGGCCGAGGTGGGTGGATCACAAGGTCAAGAGATCGAGACCATCCTGGTCAACATAGTGAAATCCCGTCTGTACTAAAAATACAAAAAATTAGCTGGGCATGGTGGCACGTGCCTGTAATCCCAGCTACTCAGGAGGCTGACGCAGGAGAATTGCCTGAACCCAGGAGGCGGAGGTTGCGGTGAGCCAAGATCGCGCCATCACACTCCAGCCTGGGTAACAAGAGCAAAACTCCGTCTCAAAAAATAAAATAAAATAAAATAAAATAAAATAAAAAGGAAGGAAATCCTATCATGTACAAGAACATAGATGAACCTGGGGAACATTAAGTGACATAAGCCAGACTCAGGAAGACAAATACCACATGATCTTGAGGGAATGTATTAAACTTCTCTTGCCAGGTCCACATGGGGCACGGTTTGAAAGACAAGAACTTCCCAGTGACATGCCTGACCTGCTTTCTCTCACGTCTCCATCCAGGAGCCTAGAGTTCTTTGTCTAACTTGCTCATGTGTGGGAAAGGTATGCTGCCCAGGTGAGCTCCCTTTGTTTAGAAAGACCGAGAAAAGCAATAGGAGGACTGTGGGCCAGGCAACCAATCCAGCATCAGAGTCAAAAATCAATCACTCCAGTGGAAGTTTGGAGGAACTCCTCTCTTGGGACAAGAA